TATGGATAGCTGTCAAAAACTTTAGCTTTCTTTTCACTAAACTAAATAAGTGAAGTCCCAATGTTCTACTCCCTTAAGACAGTCTTATCAGTCCTCTGTTCTTTTTAGTAGTCCTTCTCTTTATCTATTCCTAATTCAATTATTAGTTTCACATTAATATGTGGATTATACACAAGTTTTAAATGGTTTCCTGTGCAATGGCACCAATAACACCTTGCATCTACAGAAAATACTCTTTCTGTCTGTGTCCTGGAAGTTGCATTCACTGACTGGCTGCTGCATGCACCCATGTAATCTCCTCTGTTGTTTTCAACAAAGCAGCTTTCATCTTTAGGAAAATATGAGGAATTTCAGTTAGCACCTGAAAGCTTGTACTTGAGACCTTTTGGGAAGAGACACATGAGTTTTTTTATCCACGAGAGGATGCCCAGAGACAATTTTGATGCAACTATTAGCAAAGCAAATTGAGTGCTAGCAAGCATCAGGCAAGATTACTCTAGCAGAGGTGGCGAGGACTGTCTTTGTATATTACTAATGAGCTAAACAGTGCCAGGGAAAAGTCCTTGACAATATAATTTTGATTGCCCATACTGAGAAATTGCTGGAATGATCCCTGGAATACTTCTGACCTGAATCATGGAGTTCTTTTGGGACGTGACACTGTCCCAAATAAATCCTAGATGTGTGTTGGGACTTAGGCCATACTGGGGACCATTCACCATATCCATTCTCAATGTGGGCCCCCTTTTTCAGAGGCTGAGGGAGGGTAGATCGATGAGTGGCCACAGCTGTGGGCCTAATGTTCTCGTTGCATCACAACTGTCCCCAGAGGAATTTAGTTTATAAGACAAGACATAGCTATTGACATGATAATTGTACAGCTGCTTGTCTGAAGGACTGTGCACAGTTCTGATCATCTACACTCATGACAGAGGAGCTTGAAGATTGCAACTACAGCTCTTAAACAGTGATAGACACCAGAATATGATCATTTCACTTGAACAAGTCTCTAGGCATGGAGTTTTGACCAAGATAACTTTCCCAAGACAACTCCTGGGAAGAGGCTGGAGACTGTCCTAGCCCCAGCAGTATTCACATCAGACCTCTGGGATGGGACCTTGCAATTCTGGATCTCCAGAGATTTTCACAGTAAGGGCACAGAACAGCTCTACCAGAGGGCATCCAGACCAGAGAGTGGTCCATGGCCCACCCTATTTGCTTAGATAATTTTAGCCAAACTGGACCAGATGTAGTGAAGAATTATCTGGGTGATCAAGAGAATCCAGAATTAACTCTATCAGAGCATGTAAAAATGATTTTGAATGCTTCTGAAAAATCTACTTTATATACTCAAAGAGAGCTTCATGTACAGACACTGTCCACAGCCCCTGGGAATTTAGTTCCAAATTCCTTTAACTGGAGCATCTCAAATCATTTCAGCTCTCAGATGTCATGTATGAGACACAGTGAGTTTTGACACAATATGTGCCAAATATACCTTCAAACAGATGCAGCACTTCTCTAGGAGGTAATGACAATTGCTGAGGATGATTTCCTTCCAAATGAATATGAAAATTCCACAGACATCAGTCAAGAGAAATTAACTCTCCTTAAAGACATTTCATACGAACCACTTTCTTTCCTCTGTCTTTGC